TACAGAGCAGTGTGTAAGGGTTTACTCACGGGCATATGGGTGCCACACTGGAAAGTCTCCACCCAAGCATGGATGATGGCTTTCCCATAGCCACACAAAATGGCAAGAGAGCCCTTCCCCTAGTCTTCACCAGCCTATATACTCTAACTTGTCCCCCAGGCCACATGCAATTAAGACCAATTTGCTAGTCAGAGGTTGGGAAATGTGACTCAACTCTCAGTAAAGGTCCCAGGACTCTCTCTGCCCCTCCTTCCTTGCAGTGGGAGGAGCGTCAACAGTCAACAAGCACAGCTTTGATGATCTTAGGCAAGCCGGTACAGCTAAGCTCAGGAAGATGGTCTCCTTCTGTTAGAGGACAGTTCTGTACAACACTCTGAGTTCACCATCCTCAGGAAAACTTCAGAAAGAAGGTAGGCTCACAAATCATGCTGAACCAGATAGGTGTTTAAACACTAAGATACAGCCAGGCATGACTGGGCAGGTTTATAATCTCAGCACCAAGGAAGCTAACACAGGATTGTGAGTTTGTGACCACTCTTGGCTCAGGGGCTGGCTTTTAGAGACGCTTATTCTTCCCAGAAATACGGCAGTTTCCAGTTGATGGACTTAGCAAGTGTGAACTTCCCAGAGAGGTGCTGCATCCAACTCAAACATCCACACACCAGAGCTCTTAGAGGGGACAGATATCTAGTACCTATCTTATTGATTGGTAACTGAGTGTGGCACAGTGTAGGTGACCAGCTACTATTTCCTGGGTGTTAAATAAGCATTTTCTAGGTACTCCAATTAGTTAACTCTTCAAAGTAATCTTGTAATCTGGGACAAGTTAATCTCTAAGCATTTATTAGTACTTCCTCATTTGACAAATGCGGTAACCACACCATAAGCTTTACATGAAGCAAGAAAATATAGAAAACACTCTGGATATAACAAATATTCAATAAATGGTGGCTCTGATTACTCTTAGTTAAAGTACGTGTCTGAGACTTGGTTTGCAGTTTCTACAAGCCTTCTGCAACTGCACTGCCTTCCTCAGTGGTGATATCACTTGAACTGAGTTGAGAAGCACTATAAGGATCACATACTAGGAAATGGGCTTCTTGGCCATTCACTCCATGTTCCCTCAGGGTTGTAGAGCATTGTCTCTGGCAGTGTGGGGAGAGAACACAGGGCTGAGAGAGCACAGGTTTCCTTTGATTTTGTGCAGAACGACTCTTGGCCAAAAATCAAAACAGAGGTACTCGTGTATGTCCAGCGATTCTTACAGTACAAACCTAAAAGATCATTCTCACCTATCACTTCTTGGTAGCCCAGGAAAAATGTTGATAGGCAACAAAAAGCATCATTGGGCAGCAGTCCAGCTGGCTCCTAAAGACAGCCACAGAGTCATTTTGTAATGCCTGACTGAAGAGAGGATGGCCGTTTCCTTTCACAAGCCCAAACCACCTCCTCCGTGCTGTGAGTCTGGCTTGGGGCCCCATGGAAATGGCTGTAGAAATTACCAGCGCTGCTTTGATGTCGAGCCTTTGCTTTTAAAACCCCCAAGTTTCAATAAAACTGCCTCTCTTGACGTCCACACACAGCAGAACCATAGACAGCAGAATATGCCACCCACAGCGTCCCAGTGGCTCTTCAGTATGTGCCAAATGCAGCAGGGCTTCTTAATTATTATTTAAATTTCATAACAACAGAGAAGAATGACAACTGGAGTACATGGAACGCTGAATATTTTCTCATCAGAATTAAACACAAGCCTGTAACATTGGAAAGGTCAAATTTTGAAAGGAGAGCTTTCCTTTTCACCCCCAATGAGAATTTATTTCTAAAAAATTATTGAGCATCACGTAATATCAGACACAAAGTAAACAACAGGGATTTAGGAGTCAGAGAAGAAGAGTGAGAAATGGATTTCACTCATTACTTTCTTTCCATATCAAGGTTATGCTTGACCTGTCTTCAGGAAACCGCCGTTGTAGGGTGGGGAGTGGAGAGTTCCGAGACATGAAATTGGCTGTTGGGTTCTTTGGCCATCCTTGCTAGGTGAAACTCACTTTTTTCTGAGGAAGAAGAAATCATGCCAAACATCTTGTCAGTGGTAGTAAGTGCTCGTCTCCTCAGCTTCCAGGTAAGCCTACCTCTGAGAGACTGTGGCCTGGTTGTGTCTGTCCCTCAAAGGGCTCACAGTTCTCTTCAAGGTTAACTCAGAAGGAAGCAAAATGTTGCACCTTTGCAGAATTTTATGCTGGCTCTGCTTTCTGTTTTAAGCGCTGAACCATCCCTCCTAATCATTCAGAAGACATTGTTACCAGATTGTAAGGACATTTCCATTGCTTATGCAGCATTTACAACCCTCTTTCAACTTTCAGAAGAGATTGAAGGCTGCCTAAAATCAAAACCGTATCTATCATCTGACTCTTAAAATACAGAACATGAAGAAGCAGGATTCATTATGGCCTCTTTCATTTCTTTCATGGAAGTCCCATAAAAATTACAACCTATACTGAAGTGCATCTCGCTCCCATGTTACACAGAGCTTCCCTCTAAAGCATGCTTCTATCTTGTATTGAGATTGCCTACGTGCCAGGGTTTACTGGGGTTCAGCATTCTCAGCCCCTAATATGTACACAGTGAGAGTAGACTGGCCTAGGATACGTATCCCATAACCCTGCCTTAACTAAGAGGAAGCTAAGGTTTAAAGAGGTGAAGTGGCTTCTTGAGATCACACAGCTCTTGAGAGGCAAAGAGCATTCTAATCCAGGTCAGACAGTCTCTGGAGAGCTTCATTTCTGATGAATAGTTTGAAATAGTAGGTCACATCCTATTAACGGACCAGGAAATGATTTGTGATTGCTTTTCAAGTGAGTAAGACAGAATAGCAATCATCAGAGTTCAGCCCAGACAGGAAAAGTTAAGTGATAGCTCAAGAAATTTATATTTATTGTTAATGTATGAGTGTGGGTGTGATGTATGGATATGTGGTGGTGTGCAGTATGCACGATTGTGTGGGCATGTGAGTGTGCGAGCCTCTGAGGGTGGCTCTGCATATTGGTATGTGGAAGAGGGATCCATAGGTTTGTCAGGTTAGATGTGAATGGATGTATATGGGGGTGAGTGCTGGATCATAATACAAACTCTATTCCTAGCTGTGATTTACTGTCTTTAAAAACTTTCAAGGTCTCAGGATACATTGACTCTCGTTCCTGTCCCAAGCACAAGAGGAAAACTAGTTTTTATAAATGTGCTTTCTGTAGAAAACTTTGCAAAGAAGAAGTAAGGAGATTTTAAGATCTATGACTCACTTGTCCCCCTGTGTGAGGAGGTGTAATAAGCAGAGAAAATCTTCCTAACATCAGCGGGGGTCTGACTGGAGTTTGCCTGTATCCTGATAGTAAGTCATTTACCCACCACCTGCAGCAAGCACAGAGAAAATATTTTGCTTTTGTAAGAACAAAAACCTGTGGGTAGAAAAACATTTGGGGACCGTGCTTCGGATTGGCCTCCTCAACCAGAAAAGCTCCAGAAGATGCATCTGCAAGAGCCTCAGACTGTTCATTGACAATGTTGTACCTGGAGAAGACAAGCTGCTGTTACACACTTGCTGGACCTCTAGGGTCATCAGGACTAGAAGACTAAAGTTCACATAATCCACTCATCCTCTTGGATGATATCACTGCCTGCTTAGCATGCACTTCTGATTCAGACAACACTAGAGTCCACTTTCAAACACCTGCCTTTTAACAAATGCATCTTTTGTAGACAAGGAGTGCCCACAGGGAAGTCTCCCAAAACGTTTGTGGGAAATCACGTTTCTGCAAGACAGCATCTATTAGAGAGCACAGGTGGACAAAGCATTTCCCCAGACCCAGAGTATAAGCATCTTCATTCCCCCATCTTTACATAGAAATCATAACACTAATTAGTGCCTTTGCCTTTAGCATTCAATAAAATAATTAGGAAACAGCCAGCACAAAGTAGGTGATGCTCCAGAAGACGTCTTCTGCTATATCTTTCTGCTTTATTAAAAACAATTGTTCTGGGGCTGGAGAGATGACTCAGCAGTTAAGAGAACTGACTGCTCTTGCAGAAGACCTGGGTTCAGTTCCTAGCACCCACAAAGTGGATACACAGTGGATATCAAAACCCCCTTAACTCAAGTTCCAGGTTGAACTCTTGCTGTTTGTGTGTTATACTTCCTGACCCCCCCTAAAATCTTTTTAATTTGTCTTCATAAATTGCTACCATTCTCTAAAAGACAGATTTCAGATCCAACTGATCCCCTGATAGCATAGTGATTACTAGAGCCTCTAGGACCAGAAGGCTAAACCACGCCTTCCCCTAGGTCACATTTTCTAGGTGACAACCCAAAGAAAGATGCTTAACTTATCCAAAACACAAAGAATGATGTAATACCACCCATGCTATGGGTGCATGAAGGATTAACTGAGATAATCATGCAAAAGATGCTGGCTCAAGTACACTCAATCAGTGTGAGAGGTATTACTGGAGTTATCACTCCTTATTTTAATGTAGTTTAGTATAGCTCTCAAACTCATATTTAATTGATCCCTTGGTATTTTATCTTATGTTACCTCAAATCTTTCTTATAAACAGATTAATGACTACACAAATCAATTTATTTGATCCTATTCAAATAAATTGAATGGTTTAATAGTCATGGTTTTAATTTTCTGTCTTAAACAGTCAAACTTTTGACTTCACACAAAAGTTGGACAATTCATTTGGCTGTTATTACAATGACCTTCCTGAAATAAAAATTCAAAATGAGTCTTCATCCCATCCTTGGTATAGATGGTGTTAGATCTGACTGTAGTTACTTAAAATGTTATCATTCCAGGTTGGTGAACTAAGAATAATACCAGAAGACAGCTCAGGGGGTTCTTACAGCATTAAATGGACACCACAAGCAGTCTTGGCCACATTCACACGTGGGCTCTCTTATGTAAGATTTTTATGTCTCCCTCTCATCACCTTACATGTAGATTTTGCACTGATTGATGGCAGTATGGTCACTCCTCTGTGCCCAAGGGGGTATTTTCCCTGCGGGAATCTCACCAAGTGCTTGCCCCGATCTTTTCACTGTGATGGTGTGGATGACTGTGGGAATGGCGCTGACGAAGACAACTGTGGTGAGTCCCCTATTCTGTTCCATACACCTACCTTACTGCATGGATTCCCCCAAACTGTGGGTCAGCCAATGAGTGAGGGTAAAGAACTGCAAGAGGTGATCTGGTGGGATGCCAGTGATCATTGACCATTCATTTGTCATAATGACCTGAATTAGAGAGCTTGTTGAAATCAGAAAGATGGCTCCACAAAATTGAAACCATGTTCTAAAATCCATTTGGGTTCTCATATTTTAATTTTAAGAGGTTTCCTTTGACTATCTCCCTGTGGCCGGTAACTTTGTTCAGTTTTAAGAATATTCATAAAATGTCACTGGGCTCACCTAGAAAATTAATGAATTAAGCAGGCCAATATTGAGTGTCAACTATACACCAGGACATTTCTAAATCACTGGGCACAGTAGGGTTAAAGGACACGAAGACCTTGACCTTGAAGCTCACAGGACAATGTGAACTAAGAAGAGAATAACTGCACAGAAATACAGTACATCCAGAGAGTGATAAGGACCATGAGGATGTTTTTTTGTTTTAAGAGAGATTAAAAACAATTTGGAAGACTACTTTAAGGCTACAGAGAAAACAATTTTTTTTAAATGGAGACATTTGAACTGAGAACAAAATGAATGAAAGAAAAGGAAGGAAAGAAA